TTAACAACTAGTTGAACGATATTTTTTGGTAGTCTTTTTTTTGGTTTATATCTTTGATAGGATAGGATATTGAAATTATCACCCCTTGATTTTATTTCTCTCAGAACGTTTTTCTGCATTAGCTAATTCCAACAAGAAAAATAGCTTTCAATACTACATTTTCTTTAGAAACTTTTTTCACTCTACTCATTTTGTCGTATAGTTAATAGTTTACGAACAAAAAAATGTTGCAATTTGAAAAATATTATGTTTTATACATTATATTTCTAATTGATATTAAGCTACAGCATGTTTCCGTTTTAATAAGTAAGGAAGTTTATTTTATGAAGTAATTTTATGTATGAAATTATATTCACTACGAATACACTCAATAATGATAAATATAAAATAATAATTATAAAAAATTTGTTAAAATATGTTTTGATCTTTACTGTTTTTTCCATTATGCATATTCAGGTCAGTACATATAAAATTTCAATACAGTTAGGTTGTTTTTTACAAATACTTACCAAAATTATTTTTTTCTATTTCGTGCCTATAGAATGATCCGTATTAAATTTTCACTGCTTATTTTTTCCTTCTCAATGATTGTGGGTACTTTAAACTTTCTCTAACCAATTTCTCATTTTTATTATTTTTATGTTGGAGCTCTATTTCACAAAAACGTAGGAAGGCCATACACTTTTTTTTTTGGTGTTCTTTATCAAATTTCGATCTCAAACTTGAAATATCGAGTTCAAACTTACAATTTCGAATTCAATCTCGAAATTTCTACTTTATTTTTCAAGTAGAAATTCAAAATTTCAGGTTTGTACTCGATGTTTTGAGTGTAAATTTGAAATTTGGATTTTAAAGTAGGGTTGAAGCCATCGGCAATTATTAGGACAGGCAAAGAAAATTTGTTTGTCAAATAATTTATAGGCATTCACTTTATCACTAAAACTTAATTCAAGAAAATCTGCTGTTTGTATCTGACTTTAGTCTTTTTCAAAAATATATGTTTGACACTTGCTACTTTGTAAATTGAGCGCCTAATTATTTGAACATGTTTGTCATATTCCTGGCAATTAAGCAAATCTATTCGTGAATAGTGAAGTGCTTAGATGTTGTAATAAAATTTCTATCAAAGTAGAGTTGAATGCTCTTTTACTATTGCGAAATACTCCGAGGAACATCGTCAAGTAAAAATAAATCTGATACTAATAATGGATCGAGCGTACGTGAAGACCGTGGTACAACAAAAATTTTCCAACCTGGAATTCCTTTTCGTCTATTTTGTCCTGGTCAGACATCTATTTATGCTTACTGCTTCGACGGCTAAGCGTCCTAAGCATCATTCTGGAGAAAATAATGTGAATGGAGTTAATGATGTTCATCATTTGTGGACAGGATGCATATAAAAAAACATCTATTGTGTATTTTCGTCGCGTTTTATCATAATATACAAACCAAATTATCTCGACTTATTGTTGTATTAATGATTGTATTATAATTTGAAATGGATACAATTTATACAATTTAAATTAATAAATATTAATAAAGGTGTTCCGCCAACAATGTTTCTAAAATATTTGGGGTTAAATTTTCAGAAAAATATAGTTAGTTGTATAATAATTTATAATAACTATTAATACTTTACAATTCGAGTTCAGTTTTATTTATTTACGTTTAATTGAAAAATACTAAATTAATTCAAATTGTTTTTAAAAATGTTACTAAATTTTCATCAAATTAACTTATTTTGCGTGAAAAGTGACATCAAAGGCAGTTTTTTTTTTTGAGAACGATTGATTTTTGTTTTCAATTGACTACTTTTCCATCATGTTTTTTTGTATACAGAGTTCAACGCCGAAATAGTTTTGGTGTATTTTTGATTTTTGGAAAAAAGTTTTCCGTAAAAATTACAGGGTTAGTTAGGAGATTTTTGCTTGTCCGATTTCTAAACGTAAAATTACGTTTTTTTAATGAAGCTTGTACTTTTTATATGTAATCTGTATTCAGTGGTTTTTTCTAGATAAGACTAACTAATTTTCAATTTAACTCTTGTCACACTACATTAAAATTAAATTGTTAAGTACCTTTTGGGAAAAGAAGCATTTGGATAAAGAGTAATACGAAATTGAAAAACGAATCATTAATACATTTCTGTATTTTCACACTGTTTTTTCTAGTGTAAAAGCCATTGTTACACTATTTTGCAAACTTGTATTTCAAATTTTTATTCGTATTTGTACTTTTATTTATGCGAAATGATTTACCTGATTTTTATCTTTTCTGTCATAAATTTTGAATATGTAGTTTATGATAGTGCCTAATAATCAGTACATAAACACTGGAATTATGTTTAATGTTTGTTCCAATTTGTGAAATTACATTAATTCCTTTAATTTAGCAAAATCAAAATGAAATAAAAAAATTATCTTCCTGCAAAAAATCTACTATTTAATATTACAATTAAATCGATTACTTGGAATTTATAATCTCAATTTCATAGTCGGGAATCAATCAACACACAAGCCTTTGATTGAAATTCTTATTTCTCTGGAACGATGTATTTTAGCGACAAGCAACAACAAGTATACATTTTTCTTACATTAAATAATGTTACTTAAATATCAACAATTGCTGTTTAAAGCACAAACTTTTACTTAAAATCTACCAACAAAAAATGTATGGCAAAAACAAAAAACTCCTTCAGGTATTTTTCTAATTGTAATGTCATCTGCGGACTAAGGTAACTTGATCCAATCGATTTATTTTGACTCGAGGCAACTAATCTTGAAGTATGTCACATTCTTTACTGGACACCCTGTATATTTACGTAGAAATAAAGATTTTCTTATTCTTAAGCTTTGTATATTGACTGATTACTGGATCATTAAACTGAGATTATAAATTCCAAGTAATCAATTTAAGATTTTGTTTTAAATTGTGACATGAATTTTAATTTTGAATAATATTTCCTTATACACTTTTTACTTCATTGTTTAGAAATAAAATTTTGTACAAATTATTTTTTCACAGCAGAAATCCCAAAATATCGAACTTTAGTTCAAAATTTTGTTAGCGTTACAATAACCATTGAAAAAGGATTTAGCTATTTATGCGTTTCTAAAGGAGAAAGAGATACTCAGTTGCTATATATCTACTCTTTTTTCTTAATGGATAATATACAAGGAGTTTTACAAAGTACCACTTTAAGGACTGATAGAACATCAACAAAATAAGAATATTTTTTCGTATGGACAGGTCTTCAAAGGAAATTTTTTGTTCCTTTAAAACGTTATCGGCATTCCATTTTTTTAATTCCATTTTAACTAATACCAGCATAACTTCATAAGGAAGCAAGTTTGTCCTAAAGTAACTTGATCTAAATGGTTTGGATTGTTTAGTTTATTTTCATCCGTGTTTTCATTCAAGCAACCACCTTTAAAGTATGGCACATTCATTTCCGGACATCCTGTATATATCTACAGTGTAGGAAAGCGTCGATGGTCTATCACAAGCTACGTGAGAGCGATAAAGTAAGACATAGAAATCCATGCGATAGAGAAAGATGGCTATAATGAAGGCGTATCATAGTCAACGCCCATTTCGCCCTTCCACAAATAAGAAGTGGATCTTATTTGTGGAAGTGCGAAACGGGCGGTGACAAAGAGAAGCCTTCATTATAGCCATCCTTCTCTATCGCATGGATTTCTATGTCTTACTTTATCGCTCTCACGTAACTTGTGATAGACCATCGGCGCTTTCCTACACTGTATAAGAAAAATGCGGCAGTTCCTAACTAACCCCCCACCTCATCAGTTACGACTTATTTCCAAATACAATTTTTTGAATTATCTTGAAATTAACGCAGTTGGTAGATCGATATTTACTACGTTATTTTTTCAATTTTTTAAACATAGAAGTTAGTGACGGGTGTTCTGTTGGTAAATTATGGAACACCTTGTTATCTTGTTGTCTTTCCGATCTCAATTTAAGCAACTCGGCATTGAAATATTTGAAAAACTTGTTCCCATATTTATTTAGCCATACCCATATACAGACCAGGTCGAACTAAACGTGGAGGTGGTAAAAATATATACGCCCAGTTGCGTATGACAGCTGCACTGGGCAACTTGGCAATAAATCTCAGTTGTTGACAAGTGGTTGACAAATTGCCTAGCAGTACAGAGCTGCAATGCGGATTTTGGTGTGATCCAGGTAATTTTAATTTATTTCAGACACCTATTCATATTACAATTGCTAAAGGGGGAAATAAGAATGATATTTTGTGTACTAATATTATTACACATGGCATTTTGGAGACCTTTTGAAACGGAACAAAACGAAATTTACCATCAATATAATAAAATTGTTTGAAGACATAAATAAATGTTGTTGGCCAAATGAAAGTATAATAGAAATTTTCTACACATTATTTACAAATTATTATAATTTTCTACCTTTAGCAGAAAACTTTTCTTAGGGACGCCTATGAAACTCATTAAATTTTATTGCTAGGCGTTTTTATACATGTTCAACTTACTTCGGAATGACTATACGTAAAACGTGCAATATTTGGTAGGTAATCCGTCTTATTTCATGGCTTATAAGGCTTTCGTAGCCTTGTTTTGATTCCTATAAACAGTTATCAATCATTATCATAGTTATCATAATCATTCCTAGAATCCCAATAACTTTTTTAATTTGATGTTATACCTATACTTACGTCTTACATCTAAAACTCACGTCCGAAGGAATCCCATTCAGAAGCATCCAGGCATCCCCCACCGAAAGGTCGGACACGTGTTTACTATTTACCCCTCTGTAATCGATATTCCATCCCTGCCATCGTCTGAGCAGGAGGGAAAAGACTTGTGGTGGTATATCCATCTTTGTCTGTTCCATTTGTAGCGTCCATGCCGTGCGTCGCGACTCGTTGCGCATCGCAACGTGGTCCATTGTCGCCAGAGGCTGATTATTTCAGATCCTTATTTTCAGTAGAGCGTCGTCAGTCACGGGAGTTTGTTACTTCGACGCACCGAAACGTGGTTTTTGGATTTCGTAGCAAAGCGTTGTTAGATAAGACGGGGATTTCGTTATCGGTAGGTAAGACTGCAGTGTTTACAGTGATTAATGTGGAGTTGTAAACGCGTTTCTAAAACGAATAGACTCGGTAGGATTGGTTTTTAGAATGAAAGACTAGCACGAGGTTTGTTGTTGATATACGCTGACGGCGCGATTTTTCTGGCTGGCCATTAGTCGAACGTCGCGATGTCGTTTTTTAATTTCAATGATTACCTGAACCCGCCGAAGAGGCCGCCCAATGCAAAAAGTCCAACGAGTCCGTTTTGGTGAGTCCAGTTTGGTTGTCTAATTTTTGGCTGGTGTTTCGATGTAATAGGTTGGAAAGTGTGTTGTATACTTTTTGCAGTGTTGCATGTTATGTCACTGTGAACCTTTATTAGTGGGCACAAATTATTTAACATATAAAACGGTGAAATTTGGCCCTGTCGTGTAAAATTAGTTCTTATTTTATAATTTTTGTTTACCAATTATCTGAATTTCGTTAATTTCCACTAATATGTCTTTTATTTTCATTGCAATCCAAATGTTTTGATGTGAAATACACTTTGTAAGGGCAAACCATAGTGTTGTTACTTTAAAAAAGATGTTACAATTTTTAAAACTAAAAATATAGGTATTTTCCCGTCTTGAATCTATTTTACAATTGTTTAAAAAAAATTATTGTAACAAATTTTCCGTAGTTTACTTACGTATGCGGTATACGTACATGAATTTTCAGAAAAGTTAACAGTGGATGCAGTAAACATAATATGTCTATAGTTAATTTCGATGTACTGTTGATTATATTGTAAAATTTTTTGTTTTAAAAACGAATTTTTACATTTTCACTTTTCTAATAATAACCAGCAAATTTTCTTCTGTATTAATTATTTATACATACTTTGCCATCAGCTTGCAAAAAATTATACCGAATTATTCACGGCAACTAGATAGACCCCTCAAATAATATATGATCGCTGAATCGTTTGCTAGAAAATATATAGGTACTTTGTTAAAATTGTCCCTATACATATAATACCTATGTAGCTACATATAGAAAGTCATGTTATAATTGAACTTAGATCCAAAACTGGATAAATCCATATAAACAGAAAATGGGAAAATAATGGTTAAAATTCATACAGTTTTTTGTATAATTTTTTAATAGTTCTGTTAATTATTTTACTTTGTAATTAACTGAGGTTAACTTGACAGCAATTAGTTATTTGACGTAATAATATTACCTATATCTTGGTCACGTAATATCAAGATTTATGAGTCGGAATTTATAAACAAATTCATCATTTAAAGATTATCATTCAATGTACTTATCTTCCTAAATTATATTAATACATTTTTATATGTACATATAAAAGTATTTGTTAAAGCAGGAAATATTCACTACTAATATCTATGTATTTATATTTACATGTCATATAATAATTTGATTGCTGAATGAACACTATTTATAGAAATTAGCTTCTAAATATTTCATTTTTGTTAGGCATGTCTTTAGATGCAAATCGTATTTAAAATTTGAATTGTTGACTTCTTCACTCTGATATGATTTTAATGTTTAACAGTCTTGTTTCCAAAACACAAAAAGTAAAGTGTTATGAACCTTCTTAATCGTATAAATCATGCACATAAAATTTCATCAGTATTTACTTCTTAGATGTATTTCGGCAGATATATGTTTCATTCATAAGAAGTTGCTAATGGATTGTCTAATAAAATGATTTCTCAACATTTTGCTTTTGTTTACAGAAAGGTATATACTATATTTCAATTAATACATTTGTTTACATTTTCTACGAAATAATACCAAATAAGCGAAATTGTGAAAACTATATGTTAGATTTCTTATGATTATTAGAGTTTCAATTAAATAAAAAGAATAAAACAAATATAACATAACAACTGCATAACCCGACAGCTAGATAGCGAGTGTATCCCGTTTCCTTGGTACTCGACGTCTTTCATCGGCCGTGGTGATCTCACTCATGCCAGTAACATCAACAAACAAACGATAACCGCCGTCCCATTGAATGCTGGCATTCCAGTTTCTAACATATATTATGTGCTCAGTTAAGATTCGTTTTGTTTTTGTTATAAATCCTACCATATAACACATTGCATGTATTGCACGATTCCTTTCTTGTCTAGGGAAGAAAGTATGTTTATAAAATGCAGTAGCACGCATAAAACTTCACTTGAGCAGCGGATGTGACTGACAGATCTTCCTTATTAGGATTACATATGATCTAATATGTCACTCAACATCTGCTGCAGTTTTTCTCATAGTCACAAAGTATTTTATGTCAACATCAATAAGCGACCACTGTGACTTTTGCGGAATTATTATTTTTTATTGTATTCTCTCAGCAAAGCGGTATTTAAAAAACCAAGCAATTTTATATTTACATCTTAGAATATTATCCTCGCATTGTTTAGGACATTATGGACGATCTTTTAAATTGCTGCAAAAAAATTTAAGCCAGTGTCTATTTATAGTCGCATATGGAAACTACCTAACTTTTGTACATTAATAAAGCTTATTGCGTCAGTTAATATTACCAGCAATTGAAACTTGTTTACATTAATATACCGGATAGTTGGCGTTAACTGCAAATAAATGTATTTATTATTAAGTTACAAAGGCTTCAGATTTAAATTGTTCAGCAATAGCAAGGAATATAACAGAACTCTAGGACATACGTACAAGTATTGAAGGAAGAAGCACATGAAGAAGTGCAAGAAAACCTGAAAGAAAATAGAATGTAAATACTAAACTGCGTTTTTACGTTAAAGAAGGTGATTATAAAAAGAAATGTACCTAATAAAACTATACATAATAAATATACATGAAGGATGAAATATTAAAAATTAAAAGGAACTAAAAAGATCTTAAAATAAAGTAGAAAAGATAAGTTACGACGAAAATACAAAAGTTGACAAATTTAAAAGAGTACCTAACACATGGCATGTATACAATAAAATGTTGAAAATTATTAGTGGAAGAACCATTTCTGACCTATTTTTTATACCTACCCTATTTACTCGAGCACAAAGTGTATGTAGTTTGAAATTAAATATAATTTCATCTATTTAGATTTTTTGCGTTTACATTGTACACATTAATGTAACGTAGTTTATGCACAAGGATGCGTGTAAATATTATGGAGACGGCAGCAGCTAGCGGAAATAAATTTTGTGACTCTTACTTAGTTGTCAGTGTGAGGACTGAGGATATTCAAAACATGGTAGAGAAAAACAATATAGATCTATTTTCATATATGTTCTATATTTACCTGGGATTAAAGGTGACTTCTCTTGCAAATCATGATTCGCTCGCTTTGTTGCCCTACTTTGTATACTTCGAGGTATGTATATACCTATTATAATTTCGACTTTGTAGACAGATACTCCTTGGATAAGTAATTTAGGCTCTTTAGTCTTTAGTAATTTGCAGAGAACAAGTTCACGTTATTTATTTTTTCCTTTCTATACCTATTTATTATTCAGTAGTCGATTTTCTATTGTCATTTTTTTAAAGATGGTAGTTGTCGAATTGGTTCTACATATTTCTAATTTTACTACACTTTCTTATAGCCTTCTTAGATAAAAATAAACCGGTACACCTAGATCAAGTTACCTGAGCAAAATTATGCTTCTCTACAAAGTTATGGGATTGTCAAACATATTTTTTATTCATTATGGCAAAAATATTGGAAGTATGTCAAAGGGTCCACTGTGAAAATGGTATTTGTAAATAAATAAATAGTAATGACAAAACTCTTTAATTATTAGGAGAACGTCTAAAAGAAAACCATAGGTATACTTATACAGGGTGTTAAAAAAAAGAGTGTAAAATATTTCAGGAGGTAATAGTATGAACCAAAATAAGCAGAAAAGTCTTAATAAACATAAACATAACGCAAAGTAACGGTTGCGAAGATATGGACCACTATTAGTTTTTCAAACATTTTATTTTATTAGGAATAAACCGACAAAGGAAGCTTTTAACAAACAAAAAACAAAGTTACAGAAGATGTTCAAAGTGCCCTCCGTTCATTTCCAAGCAGGCACGACATCTTCGTCTCAACGATATTCGAACTCTTTCGAAAACACCCTCCTTGGTTTGGATTTCTTGACACTTTTGATCCGTAGCTGCAGCTCTTCCAGGCTATTTACAGGAGTACCATACACTAATGTCTTCAAATATCTCCAAACAAAGAAATCTAGAGGGTTCAGATCAGGCGATCTTGGAGGCCATAAAACAGGTCCGGCCCTTCCTACCCATCTATGTGGAAAAGTTTGGTGTAAATGCTCTCTAACAGCCATGGAAAAATGAGCTAGAGCACCATCATGCTGGAACCATATTTGTTGCCTCTGATTCAAAGGAATGTCTTCCAAAAACTCATACAGTGTGTTCTGCAGAAAGTTGAGGTAAGCAGCGCCTGTTAATAGGTTTGGTAAAACAACAGGACCTAGAAACCTGTCACCTACAATACCCATCCAAATGTTTAATGAAAAACGTGAAAATAAAATAAAATGTTTGAAAAACGAATAGTGGTCCATATCTCCGCAACCGTTACTTTGCGGACCCATGTTTATTGAGACTTTCTGCTTATTTTGGTTGATACTATTACCTCCTTAAATATTTTACACTCTTTTTTTAACACCCTGTATATTAAGTATTTATTAAAAAATATACTTTTTTCTCTATTTAGATATTTTGTTATCTGTGAAAAAAATAATCAAATAAGCCCTGCGCTAAAGGGTTCAGTGAGGATTTGTTTTTATCAAACTATTTTTGCCTAACCAAAAATTTTACTAAAAACTGACGAAAATCTGCGAATGACTGTTTCAAATAGGTTTGCAAGTTTTAACTTTATCTGTCGGTATAGCTAGGATATCATATGATATTTATTATATGTATTATTACTTAGACTTTAAATATTTGAAGAAAAAACGTCACTCTTTTAAAAACGAAAATAGAGTGAACGTTAACTAATGATAGTTTGTATTTTTTTCTATCTTTTTCAGTTCGATTTGTGGTTAGGCAAAAATAGTTTCATAAAAACAACCCTTGATTGACGTTTTTGGCGCAAGGTGACGAAACATCATAATAGACAATGAAAAAATGATTGCTCTAAATGAATAATGGATAGGACTGTCAGAAATGAGCCGCGAGACATAGGCGTGCGCATTATTTATCAGAAAGCAACAAATTAAATTGTCTACAATACTCCACCATAAACACCAATGGATAGGAATTGATTAC